AAGGATTCTAAGTTCAAGGCCAGGTCAGCAATTTAGTGAGGTCCTAGATAATGAGACCCTTTCTCAAAATTTTTAAAAAATAGCTGGGGTTGCAGCTCAGTGAAAAATTGCCCTGTGTTAAATATCCAGTCCAAAAATGAAAGAAAGAAAGAAAGAAAGAAAGAAAGAAAGAAAGAAAGAAAGAAAGAAAGAAAGAAAGAAAGAAATTAAAGATCAAACAGTATACTATAAGACTGTGGAAAAACAGACAATCCTATTCAGTAATAGTCAATAGTAGTGGAAATGTAAACATGGCCAGGTTCATAGTGCACACCTATAATCCCAACAACTAGGGAGGCTGAAACTAGAGGTTGGCAAGTCCAAGACCAACCTCAGCAACTTGGTGATTCTTTCACAAAATAAAAAATTAAAAGGGCTGGAGATGTTGTTCTGTGGTAAAGCACCCCGGCTTCAATCCCCAGTACCACTTAAAAAAAATAAATAAAAATGGCACAAACTTATTGGGAAATAAGGTGCTATCTACCAAAATTACATATACACCTGTCTTTGACTCATTAATTTTGCTTTAAGAATCTATTCCAAAAATATACTCACAAAACTACAAAAAGATGCATCAGAAGATCAATGAATTAAGTAAGAATCTGGAAGTCCTGAACAAGAATTGAAAGAATCAGTATAAACTCCTCTTGTATTTTATTAAATACATACACATTTCACACGTATTTTTTAATACTTCTATGAATGTGTGTTTCCTACCTCATTCAAAAAATGACTAAGTTCAATGGGCTGGGGATGTGGCTCAAGCGGTAGCGCGCTCGCCTGGCATGCGTGCGGCCCGGGTTCAATCCTCAGCACCACATACAAAAAATGACTAAGTTCAAAGTAACAAGCATCCCTAGTGCCCAGATTATGATTACAAAGTACCACTTCAAACACAAAACAAAACATACACCCCCCCTCCAAAGTACCACTTCCTATTAAAAAGAACCAATACCCCTAAGAACGATGTCTAATACCAAGTCTGGCACAGAAAATACTTAAGCCTGGATCTTCTTGTTCATTTTGATTCTTCTATAGTTCACAAAAACTGTAAAAATGTTAATTGTTGAAATTGGATAGTAAATACATGGGGGTTTCATTATTGTAATGGTTTTTTAAATCGTGTCCACTAATAAAAAAAATGTTGATCACATTTTATTATGACAGAGGGTCTGTGTATCTTCCCCTTGAATTTGGGCTGACTTTAGTGACTAATCAACCATCTAATATGGTGGAAGTGATGGTATATGATTTCTAAGTCTAGGTTTAAAAAAGCAATGCCACTCTGGCCTAGTCAATGAAACCCTCAAACTATAGCTCCAAGCTGTCATGTAATCACCCTACCACACTGAGAATACCTGGCTGTTAGGAAGCCCAAATTAGGCATGAGAAGCCCTAAATTGACAAGAAAAMAAAGGAGAGAATCACAGTCTCTGGGACAGGAGTTCCCTATTTTTCTCCTTTACTAGAAGAGCAATAAGCCTTCTTTTTCTAAAAAAGAAGAAGGGGGTAGAAGAGCAATTAGATAGGTACACAGATAAAATGGGTTGAATAAATAGGTAGATAGATCGATGAATATAAAACCATGGCTCTGATACCCCAATATTCTATCTCTAACTACCAGAACCATACGATACCAAAGACAGAATAAACCTCTGGCTGAGGCTTTTTAAAATTCTTGACATACAGAAATTATGAAATACAATGAAATGACTATTATTTTAAGCCATTAAGTTTTGGAATAGTTTATTTTGGAACAATAACAACTAGGCTGGGTATGTGTCACACACCTATAATCCCAGAGGTGCAAGAAACTGAGGCAGGAGAATCATGAATTCAAAGCCAGCCTCAGCAACTTAGCAACGCATTAAGCAACTCAGTGTCTCTAAGTAAAATACAAAAAAGGACTGGGGATGTGGCTCAGTGGTTAAGCAGCCCTGGGTTCAATCCTGGGTACCAAAAAAAAGAAACTAGAACAATTATATGAATCTCCTTTTATGTACACTGAAAATTTTCCATAATAAAAATGCTTTTAAAGTTCAGAAGAAAAAGCCAGGTGAGGTGGCACAGGCCTATAATCCAAGAAGCTCTGAAGGCTGAGGCAGGAAGATCACAAGTTTGAAGCCAGGCTCAGCAAAACTCTAAGCAACACAGTGAGAACCTGTTTTAAAATAAAATTAAGGGGGAAAAAAGTGGGGGGAGGGGAGCTGGGGATGCAGCTTAGTGGTAAAGTGCCTCTTTAGTACCCGTTCCCCACACTAAAAAAAGTTCAGAAAAATATTAACAGTGCCCTTAAACGTTTTTTCTAGGCCTAAAGGTGAAGTTCAGTGGTAAATTGCTTGCTTAGTATATGTGAGGGCCTGAGTTCAATTCCCAGGACCTGCCAAAAAAAAAAAAGATGTGCGAGGTTACATTAATTCTGTACTGGTAAGAAACCTTTAAGCTAAAGTATTATTACCATCTTACAGGTAAATTATTATTACTGTAATACAAATAAATAAACTAAAGCTTAGAAATGTTTAATAGCTAGAACAAGGATACCATGAGGAAGTCCTGGCACCTACTCACCGACCTTCCAATCAGTTATGCCCAGTCCGCTATTTCCCACTTCATTTACTCTTTCAGTTACACCTCAACCTTATCATCACCTGGATCTGGCTAACCCCTACAATCACTATTTAAAATACCTTAGTCTGTCCAGAGTAGTCCCTACCCTCTAGCTTATGTGCTCCATTACTCCCACTCACCTATTCTTGGACCTCACAAGGTTCTTTGGTTTACAGCCTCATCAAATACTATTTTTACAGTTTGGAGTCCAAAATCTTTTCTTTTCTTCTTCTTTTTTTTAATCTAAACCCTAAATCTCTATTTCTCCTTGCCTGGACCTACATTGTTCAGCATCACAGGTAAAGAAAAATCATAAATCTGCCTACTGGTACCATTCTATACTTCAATCCTGAACAAGGCCAGGCAATCTTATCATTATTCTAGTCAACTAATCTCAATTTTCCAAAAATAATTTCAGATCTTCTTTTTGGTACCAGGGATTGAATTCAGGGGCACTTAATGATTGAGCTACTTGCAATTATTTTTATTTTTATTTTGAGACAGGGTCTCACTAAGTTGCTTAGGGTCTCCCTAAATTACTGAGACTGGCTTTGAATTTATAATCCTCCTGCCTCAGACTCCCGAGATGCTAGGATTATAGGCATGCGCCACCATGCCTGGCTACTCAGATCTTTATACTCTGCAAACTTCTAATTCATCCAATATGTATCTTTCCTTCATCACACAATCTCACTCTTTTAACTCAGAGGAAACACCCTCAGTTTTCCAGTACCATATTGATAAACCTACGTATTTCATATCCCTTTTGTAAGGCCAATAGAATGCACAAGCACTGAATCACCAAGCCTCCCATCTGCTCCTTCCAATCAACATTTCAATATACTCAAGTTTTTACTACTCTAAAAAGAAATTCCTCTTTATACATCCCATTGTCTACAAGGAATTGTTTTTCCTAGGAACTGGAATTGAATGTTGATAGAGCAAATATCAAACAGATATCCACCAATAAACAAAAGGCTTCTTACAAGCTCCTTATTTCTCTCACTGTGTTGTAAGCACCTTGAAAGTAAGGRCTTAAAACTCTTTATATACGCACAATACTTGCCAAGGTAGTATATAGACTTACTATACCTTTATACATGTTTACTGAATAAATATGAGCAACTTAAATATTAAATATTATTTTGCCTCAGGTATAATAAACATGTTAGTAAACAAAGCCAAGTGGCTGATTAACTGTTTAAACAGTGTATGTGTGTGCCTGAGGGTGTCCGAATGCAATTAGCATATGTAGATATAACAGCTTAAGAAGAAAGTGCCAAAAAAATCCTTAGTGAACAAGTACTGGGAAGAAGTGGAGGATGGCAGGGCCCCTTCCAAGCCTTTCTCCTACCCACAGTGCTTTCTGATCACTTCTTCCATCTTTCCCCTTCTTCACTGTTCCTATGACCATTTTCTTTCACTATTTACCACTTTTTCCTAAAAGAGCCTAGTAACAAGTACACCAATTTTTAGTTTCATTAACTTAAGGCAAAGCCATTATAAATGTGACACTTCAGAACATTTCTTCACTAGACTCCAAATGTACTTCTTGAGATATTTTTGTTTATTGATGGGCATCTATCTATTTGCTCTGTGGACATTCCACCCCAATTAGTGGGAAAGGCTGACCCTGCAGCAAACACAGACAACATTCAACTCGCTGGCTGCCATTTCATTTTTTGTCATGGGACCATGGTCTAAGTCAGGTTACTATTAAGGATTAAAGCACTATACTCAATGTGAACTAGATGGCACTGCTCTATTCCATAGCTCAAGACACTGTCCCTAAGCTGGTCAGCAAAAGACACAAGCCATTGTTAACAAGACTAGGCAAATGAGTATGAATATGTAAATTCATCATCACTACTGAAAAACAACCTGAAACAATATCCTACTAATCAGTAAGTTGTATTTTTTTTTTTTTTTAAATTTTTGAGGCACTCTTATTTATTTATTTATTTATTTTTAGTTCTCGGCGGACACAACATCTTTGTTGGTATGTGGTGCTGGGGATCGAACCCGGGCCGCACGCATGCCACACGAGCGCACTACCGCTTGAGCCACATCCCCAGCCCCAGTAAGTTGTATTCTTAACCATAATTTGATGTGGGATATTTTTTCTTTTCTTTCTTTTTATTTATTTTTTTTTTTGTGTGGTGCTGGGGATTGAACCCAGGGCCTTGTGCATGCAAGGCAAGCACTTTACCAAATTGATTTCTTAATTGAGAGAGAGAGAGAGAGAGAGAGAGAGAGATAGATAAGGCTACATAGTATTTCTCAACCCTTACTTTCAAAGAATTTAATATGTAGATGACATAATGGCATACAAACTTTATTCTATAAGAATATACCTTTCTCTGGATGCTTCATCAGGGATACCTAGGCATATTTCTCGGTCGAACCTTCCTGCACGTCTCAAAGCAGGGTCTAACGAATCTGGTCGATTAGTAGCTCCAATAACCAGGACTTGAGCTGTAGCGGCCACATTATTCAAATCTAATAAGAACCAGACACAAAATAGTGGTGACAAAGACATCTATCACATTACACAAATCATTTAATGGTTAGAGATGAAGTATTACACACTTTAACTAAAAACTAACATTAAATGTCTCATAGAGACAGACATTATTACCCTATATACATGTATGATTACATTACTGGAGTGACTCTGCACCATGTACAGCCAGAGGAATGAGAAGTTGTGCTCTATTTGTGTACAATATGTCAAAATGTATTCTACTGTCGTGTATAGTAAATAAAAAACTTTTTTAAATTAAAAAAAAAGGTTGAGAGATAAAAAATGTTTTATATATAAAAAGTATCTTAGCAATTCATAATGTATTCAGAAATATTAAGTGTATAATTAAGAATACAGGCTGTAAGCCAAGTTTTATGAAATATAATTATTGGTAGTATAAATGAAACACCACAGCAAAACAAAAAAGATATTGTGAATTCCAACTGAGGAATAAGGGAGCGGTCGTGAAAGAGGTAATACTTCAGGAAATACCAAAGGTGAATATGATGTTAAATTTAAAAGCAGAGATAGATGCTAATTAAATTCTACGGAGAAGAAAAAGCTTGAGTGACAACACAGAGTTGGAAATTGCATGGTACATTTAGGCAAGGTCATCAATCTAACCACAGGGAGTCTGGGGAGGACAGTAACATGGATTTCCGGGGATGAACAGAATGTAGGCCTTAAAGTTTATCATTCCTAAGTTTATTTCTCTTAATTGAGCCAGGATTGAACAGCAAGGAGTCAGGTTATACTCCTTCATAAGAAATAAGAAGGTAGTAAGATACTAATTAAATCATGAGTTTATGCAGTATATTCTTTAGCTAGCAGAAAAGTAATGAAGGACTTTTCTCAGAACACAAACCTCAAAAACACAGCAGAAAAATTTTAGATATATATAAAATAGAATAATAAGCAACTTGCAACCTAGAATGGCAAGGAACACAAAACATGTACTACTTCAAATTTTCTTGTGTACACAAAACATGTGCTGTTTCAAAGTAGGCAGACTCTACTTTCAAAAGCTCTAGTTGATTCTTATGTAATGCTAGTGGAAATAAAAATTGCAAAGTCTTATGAAATGTAATGTGCATGAAAAACTGAAAATGTATAATTTTCAATTACCAATTCTACTTCTAGTATTTATCATGGAAACCTACATGTGCACCAAAAAGACTCTTTTAATGATATTCTCCCTAACTTACTGCAAAAAATTGAAAACAAACATTCATTAATGTGGGAATGTTTAAGTACAATATAGTAAATCTATCTTAAGAATATCATGGCATCAGTTAAAAAAAGATTAAAATGGGAACATTTCTTAAGATGAACTGTTAAGGAACAAATGGTAAGTTGAACAATGTCTATGGTGCAATCTCAGAATTATAAAAAGCAAAATATGCTAGCATATATATGTAAACACATTAAAAATAACGATAACATATACTTTAAGTTAAATTAATGCTATAATCTTTTGTGATAAAGATTTCTTAATTTATACTACGAGATTTATGGTTTAAATATTTTATCTTTGTGTATGACTTAAACTATTTTAAGAAATTTATTATCTTAAAATGAATTCATTATTTCAAACTGACCATCCATGCAGGTTAGGAGCTGGGCTACAATTCTTCGTTCCATATCTTTTGAAGCAACTTCTCTTTTGGGAGTAATAGCATCAATTTCATCGATGAAAACAATACAGGGTGCATTTGACTAGAAATAAAAATATCATAAAAAAAAGATGACTACGAATACATTTCCTATATTGATGCATAGTTAAATACATACATCTTTTCTTTCKTTTTTGAAGTACTGGGGATTGAATTCAGAGGCATTCTACCACTAAGCTACATTCCCAAGGCTTATTTGTTTTGTAGTACTAGGGATTAAACTCAGGGGTGCTCTACCACTAAGTTACGTTCCAGTTCTTTTTTGTTTGTTTTTTAATTTGGAGACAGGGTTTCACTAGACTAGGCTAGCCTAGAACTTGTAATCCTTCTACTTTAGACCCCAAATAGACAGGATTATAGGCATGCATCTATATACAATTTTTAAAATCTTAGAGTTCAAGGACCATTCACCAAATGAATAACCACCCCTCAAGAAGGCAGTTCACAGTGTTATTTCTGACTTATCTATCTGAAGAAAAACACAATGTTTAAAAGAGGACAATAAATGACTACAGATCTGGTAGCACATTTATAGTCTTCATCAATTCATGTTTTGTGCTAAATTTACTGAAATTCTTTTATAAATCAGACATGTGTGCTACGCTATGAAACAAACAGTAAGTCTAAAAGGTTTAAATTAGAAAACCCAACTTTATTAAGTGTTTTATGTTTCTACCAATATAAAAATGTCCAAGCTTTTCTTTCAAATCTGCTATAAGAGGAAGTTGAGAAGCAGCAGAGCCAGGTGGCACATGCCTGAAAACCCAGCTATTTGGGAGGCTAAAGTAGTAGAAGAATCAAATTCAAGGCCAACTTAGGTAACTTAGTGAGATCCTGTCTCAAAATTAAGGAGTAAAAAAAAAAAAGGCTGGGGATGCAGCTCAGTGGTAAAGTGCCCCCAGGTTGAATCCCAAGTACCACCAAAATCTAAAACCAAACAAACATACAAAACACCCAGATAGGGTACAGACTGAATAAGTTAGGAAATAAGCTAGTTACCGAATGTCAAATTCATTAAGGCCTAAGTTAGAATGTTTGTAGAATTGCAGTAGCAGGGGAATGGGGAATTATTGTTTATCAGATACAGCGTTTCAGTTTGGAAAGATGAAAAAGTTCTGGAGGTAGATACTAGTGACGATTTACACAAAAATGTAAATGTACTTCATGCCACTGAATTGTACACTTAAAAACGGCTAAAATGATAAATTTTGTTATGTTTATCTTAACACAAAAAAGGAGACATAAACATTAGTTAAAATGAAAAATTTAAAGAAAAAATATCTGATGTTCAATCTAAATCATTCTCAATTATTTAATCCTGAGGGGTAACATTGACTATGTTCAATCAGTCTGGCTAAGACATCTCAAAACCACATGCTAGAATCATTCCTAGCTGGCTCTCTTCCCCAATCCTTGTTGTGACAATGTCTGCAAAACATCATCTAAGACAACTGGAAACGTTACCCAGCTACAAAAGAGTAAAGTTACAGAGAGCAAAATTCTCAGAAAATAAACACATAAGTATTTGCCAGTGACCTAGAAGATTGGGAGAAAAGGAAGAATATGAGAAGGTCATCAGAATTAGCCTTTAAAGAAGCATATAGTTTTCTGCAAAGAACCACCTGATGTGATTTGAATCTGTTCTCTAAACCACATACTTTATTGTACTCACTTTCACTACGAAAGAGGAGACCAGGGAAAGGTGGTATGTATAGTGTTACACCATACATTCGCTGAACACATCCTGTCAGACATCATACTGGTTCAATACTGGTTTACAAAGAAACTTTTAACACAACAATCTACATGCAATTTACTACTGTCCTCTGGCTCTAYGTGCCAAATCAAAAACTGAATCAGGCAGGTTTTGGAAAGCAGGTGACATCTGAAAGAATTAGCTGTGCACACTGCCTTTCTATCCTTTCTTTGCATCTTCCTTGTGCTGCCCACACCTTTTTCATTGTCAGGTAACAAACCAAGCAAACAGCCTCTGCATTCTTGCCATTTTAAAATACTTTTCTCAATGACTATTGAAATACAATTTTTCTTCTAATTTCACATCAACATCTAGTAGTTGTATTGGTCATGTTCATCAGCCATCATATACTTTGAATATAAATAAAGACATAAAATTAAACCTTTCATCACTTTTTAGTTTTAGCTACAGTGACTTATGTTTGCTCCAGTGTACATAATAGCATGTCTAATATTTACAGGGCTCTTGTGTATGTGCACAAGGCATTACATTAAAGGTTTTATTTATTTATTTATTTTTTTAATAAGCAATTTTAATATTTATTTTTTAGTTTTCAGCAGACACAACATCTTTGTTTGTATGTGGTGCTGAGGATCAAACCCGGGCCGCACACATGCCAGGCGAGCGCACTACCGCTTGAGCCACATCTCCAGCCCTACATTAAAGGTTTTAAAAGAATTTTCAAGTGGACAGTGGTGGCTTATATCTATAATCCCTGTGACTCAGGAGGCTGGAGCAGGAGGATCACAAGTTCAAAGCCAGCCTCAGCAATTTAGCAAAGTTATGAGCAACTTAGAAAGACTCTGTCTTAAAATAAAAAGGGCTGGGGATGTGGTAAAACACTCCTGGGCTTAATCTTTAGTACTAAAAAAAAGAAAGAGGGGGTGGCAAAGAAGAATTCTCTCATTTAATACTCTCAACAATACATTTAATACTCCATGAAATTAAGGTATTATTTTTCTTTTCTTTTTTTTTTTTTTTTAGAGAGAGAGAGAGAATCTTAATATTTATTTTTTAGTTTTCGGCAGACACAACATCTTTGTTTGTATGTGGTGCTGAGGATCGAACCCGGGCCGCACGCATGCCAGGCGAGTGCGCTACCGCTTGAGCCACATCCCCAGCCCAATTAAGGTATTATTATTACCCTATTTTACTAGTAAATAAATTGATGGTAGAGTGGTTAAAGCTCTAGTTCAATATCACATATAATAGCAAAGGACTTGAAGACATCTTCCTCACTGAAATTACAGACATATAACTACTATCCCATCTGAAAATAAAGCTTTAATAGGATGTAAATATCATCATCCAAATTTTAATAACACAAATTACACATCAGAAAAAAATCAAATCTGAAATTTCTCTCTCTGGTAAAAGAATTTTTTTTTCACAGCTTTCATATACAAATAGAGAGGAGTTTATCCTGCCATGTTTATGGCTGCTTTTATAATATAGTAATCCTAAATATAACAATTTTCATATTTCTTAGTAATTGTTTGGTATAACCAAAGTTGGGAAAGGTATGTTAATGAAAATATCATAAAGATAATATATTTTCAATACATGACTACTGGGTATGAAAGCCCAAAACTTCCCATCAATTATCTTTATTTAATTTCAGATGAAATAGATTTTTTATCCAATAGTCTGTATCATTAAATCCATTTCAAATATTTAGCCAACATGCATAACAAATTTCTAAGCTTATCAAATAATAGCCAGTGAATGAGTAACAAGTACCAGCATCAGAAAAGCAGGATCTTTAAATATAAGTTTATAAGATCTGACAATGATGTTAGTCATTAGCTGACTCACCACAGCTTGCTCAAATAAATCTCTGAGCTTCTGCTCGGACTCCCCAGAAACTCCCGACACAATCTCTGGAGCAGCTACTTTCAAAATTGGCAGGTCAAGTTCCTGTGCACAAACACATAAAAGAATAACCAAAGGCAAAGGGCTGGAGATGTGGTTCAATGGTCAAGTGCCCTCCCAACTTTTTCCTCATGTTCTCTACTTCATCAAAATCACATTTTCAAAATGACCATTTCATTTTCCTGAGGAACTTCATCTTTGTGTGTGAGCCTTATAAAAAGCACTATTGAAAAATCTATGGATTTATGCAAGCACATTAAGCAGATATTTTCTACTTGTTTTCACTTTACAGATGTCAGTATAAAACTCTTTTCTCTCTTGAATCTCAAGCCCTCCCCACCTTAGGGTTGAATCAAAACAATTGTATCTATCATTTACCTACTGGACAGGAAATAGCAAGAGCTGTAACACAGTTGCTTTCCATATATTCAGCTAGCATTCCTCTACTTGCTAACCCAGAGAAACACTTACTACTAGCCAGAAGAGGCAGACATTTTAAGAAACAGAAGAGAAACTATTGTTGTTCCATCAATATGATTGACAACAAATCTGGCAAACTTGTACTCTTTCTTCTGGCTATGAAAATTTTACTTCTTCAACAATATATTCTTTGACTCCAGTTATAACTTAGGTATCCCAATGGTCTACACAACATTCTGCACTTCTTTCTACCACTTTATAGAATTGTTACTATGTACAACATTTATTCATCCGAATAACTTTAATGTCTCTCTCATATTAAAACTAGATTTGTGATACTTATCACTATATAACAAAGTCTGCCATGCAGGAATTATACAAAAGAAATATTCAACAAAAATGAGGCAAACAATCAAGTTCCCCTCTAAAAATGATTTTGTTTCACAAAGTATAAATTTGTTAATGATTAGTATGCTATTCTATTAACTGAAGTTACCTGGATATTTTGCATTTTACTACCCAATATAGTTTCTGAAATATCTGACAGGGCTAAAATAAGATTGTTAACTTTTATTTTGCAAAGCAAGTGTCTTTCATGACCATCAGAAAGAATATTTTAATACCACAAATCATATAAGAACATGTCTCAATGGAAATTTTGAATTAAATGTACCTCTATTAAAAAAAAAAAATCAATACTATGCTTAGCTGTTCTTTTTTTGTTGTTGTTATTGGAGATTGAACTCAGAGGCACGCAAACACTGATCCACATCCTCAGCCCTATTTTTTTTAATATTAATTTTTTTAGTTGTTGACAGACCTTTATTTTATTTATTTGTATGTGGTGCTGAGAATCAAACCCAGTGCCTCACACATGTCAGGCAAGTACACTATGGCTAAGCCACAGATCCAGACTGAGCCCTATTTTTGTACATTCTATTTAGAAACAGGGTCTCACTGAGGTGCTTAGTGCCTCATCATTGCTGAGGCTGGCTTTGAACTCTGGATCCTCCTGCCTCAGTCTCCTGAGCCACTGGGATTACAGGCATGTATCACCATACCTAGCTATTTTACTGTTCTTAAGAACTATCAAGTTAAAGTGAAGAAGAAATAACTAAAGCCTAAATGACATATTTTAAAAGGGAGTTTATTTGCTTCCGACCCAACTTTTATCACATATACAATAAATATACTCACCTATCTTACATTTTAGTTTTAGTTGTAGATGGACACAATACCTTTATTTGTGTTATTATTTGGGTTCAATACCCAGTACCACCAAAAAAAGTGGGGGGGTATCATTTTTCATTGATCATATTCTCTTTCAAAGAGATACCAGGCCTGGCTGAAGTTGATCAAAGAGGAAAAAACAAATAATAACAAAAACAGCAAAAGCAAACGAGTGTCAGAAACCTCACCCCAGCAATTGCATGTGCAAGCAATGTCTTCCCACAGCCTGGTGGTCCATGAAGAAGAACTCCACGTGGGGGCACAACACCCAAGTGCTGGTACACTTCTGGATGACGCATGTGAATGAGCATCTTGCAGACTTCCTAGCAGGGAAAAAGAACAAAAGATGTCTTCTTCTGCCCMAGACAGAAAGAATCAAAGTACAACGAAATATCATAGTCTTCAGACCAGCAAAATACAGTAGGTAAGAGTACAAGTTTTAGGTCTTTACATTTGAATCCTGGCTCTGATAGATACTGCATGACTTCAGCAATGGCCTCTTGGGCCACTATTTCCTAAGCTTTAAAAATACCTACCTTTAAGATATAACAAAAAGAAATTAGCATAGTAACTGGAAAAGAGAAGACACTAAAACAATAAACCTAATTATTAGTACTATTAAAAAATATTATTTATAAAGCATGACTCTTATGTACAATCTAATTTTAAAAGGTGAAAAGAAAAAGGATAGTGTGCTTCATTTCTCCCTCAATACCCTAAAAGGTGTAAGCCATGTCTGCCATTCTTACCTTCCCAATCTCCTTTTCTATTCCCAGTTCATATCAGAAACAAAGAGGTAGGCTTTGTTTGTATAAGTAATTAGTAATATACCCACTTGAGGTAAAATTCTGAATTTGACCTAACTTTTAATGTAGTATCATTGCCTCCAACATCTTCAAACTTCACACTGGATATCTGCAGTTCTAGCGCCCTGGCTTTGGCTGGTAAACAAAAAGAGAGGAGATGAAAAGGTTAATGATTGAATATAAACTAATAATTAAAGGTCAATTAGACAAATATTTTCCAATAAGTGTTTCTGTACACAGAAAGTCTCCTAAGCAAAACAGCTTGGGGAGAAGAGTGATGACTCTCTCAAAGCAAACATAACTTCTGCTACCCACAAGATATGCATTTCACCTTTCTTTTGCAGGACAGCTTCTATTTCTCCATCCACTTCCTGAAGATCTTCCTTCTTTCTTTTGTTTCCTTTGCCTTTTAGCCTACCCTTCCTTTTATTATCACTCTCCAGAAAAGAAGACTCTTTTGAATCCTAGAGAAAAAATAAATTCAAATATGCCACACTTTCAATCACAATGCATATATATAATTTTTTTTGAGAAGGGATTTAAGGCTAGTGGTAGCTTGGTGGTACAACACTTGCCTAGCATGAGCAGGGCTCTGTGTTTGATTCCCAGGACCACAAAAAAGTCCATTCCTGCCTTCATGATGTAGTACTTTTCTGTTAATGATTCCCAATCTCACTGCTTAAGGATGCTATCTGTTGGTGATGGCCTAAATCTTTCCCATAACCTTACAGATAGGTTTAAATCCTAACATTGGAAAACCTTCTTTCCATATTCTTTTAATTACATTTAATCTCTTCCTTACATTCCCAGAATATGGTGTTTGTAACTATATTACAGGCTACCATAATCAGTTTTGTATTTGAGTGATTAATTTGTCTATGACTTGTTCCTGAATTGTGAGCTCCTTGTTTTGACACTAAAATCATCTTTTATTCTCACTGAGTCTCCTTATAGTTGTAAGCCATGTCTGCCATTCTTACCTTCCCCAAAAAGTCCATTCCTGCCTTCATGATGTAGCATTGATTCATCCATCAATGGATAAAGTGAAGACATTTGGAAAAGGCACATTAATAAGTCAAAGTGAAATGTTTTCCCAAAATCAGTGGCTGTGTGTTTGGAAACCAATTAATGCAACACTGTCCAAAAGAAATATAAAGCAAGCCACATACATAATTTTATATAATATAGTAGCCACATTAAAAATGGAGCTAGGTGGGGCAGTGCATGCCTGTAATCCCAGTGACTCACGAGGCTGAGGCAAGACAACTGACTGCAAGTTTGAAGCCATCCCTGGCAACTTAGTGATACCCTGTCTCAAAATTATATAAAGGAAAATAGAACTATGTCAAATTCACTTAATAATCTTTTTTTTTTTTGGGGGGGGGTGCTAAGGATGGAACCCAAGGCCTTGTACATACAAAGCACTGGCTCTATCACTGAGCTATACCCTCAGACAATAATCTATTTTATTTAACTCAGTATATACCAAATAATCTCATTTCAACACAGACTTAACATAAAAAATTATTAATGAGATGTTTTACATTCTGTTTTATAGTAAGCAACAAAATATAATGTGTACTTTTATGGCACATCTCAACTTTTGACACTAAATTTTCATAGGAAACACTTGATTTGTACTTTATAAAATTTACCCCTAAAATAGATTGAAATACCTACATTGTTTCAAAAATATTTAGAGACTTCCCAAAAATCAAATTAACTATAATTTTAACTTTAAATTTACATTTAAATTAAAAATTCACTTCCTCATTTGCACTAGTCATGCCTCAAGGTCTCAATAGCCACATGTGGCTACTAGTACTACTTATACACCCAGTCACTGTATCATGGGATAGTTACTTTAAACCCTCTCTCATTCTACTATGCTTTAAAATAATCATTAAGAAAGGAAGAAAGGGAGCTGGGGTTGTAGCTCAGTGGTAGAGCACCTGCATCACATGAGTGAGACACTGGGTTCAATCCTCAGCACCACATAAAAAGTAAATAAATAAAAAAGAAAGGAAGAAAGGTACCCAATGTGTTCATTTTGTGATAATTATGCTTTTTTTAAGTTTCGTTTTAAAACTTTTTAAAAAGATATCTGCCTACCAGATGCAGTGGCACATGCTTCTAATCCCAGCCACTGAAAAGGTTAAGGCAGCAGGATCTCAAGTTCAAGACCAGCCTGGGCAACTTAGCATGACCCTGCCTCAAAATAAAAAATAAAAAGGGCTAGATATGTAGTTCAGTGGTAGAGTGCCTATGGATTAAGACAGAAATAAACATGAACAAACAAACAAACAAAAAAAACAAAAACAAAATAAAGGCACCTGCCTAGTCTACATATTTTCACATACATCTATTTATTAGGATTTAAGGTGTTATCCTGAACTGAACATAAATCACATTGCTGTTTCAGCAGCAATCATCCCTTCTTCCTAAATTTATCACCTGTGCAACACATAACCAAAACACTTATTTTTAAACTCTCACTAGTAAATGTATGTTGGGAAGTTCATTTGGCACTACTAATTCAATAAACTGACTGGCTATCATATGATAGACATAATTTAGCCAAGGGCGCAGTACTAAACAAAACAAAGTCCTTGCTCTCCAGGAACTTATATTCTAGTGAAGGAAAACAAAAGGATGAGTTACGAAAAAAAAAAAAAAATCACACAAGCTAAAATGACTTTGACTTTGGGTAGTTAGTAAGTAAGTAAATAAACAAATAAATAAATGGAGTAGGAAACAGAGTACCTAACAATGAGCTATCTCCTGTGTGAAAAAAGACCTCTCTACAAAGATTACATGAGAAAAGAGATGTGAAGAAGTGATGAAGTGAACCATAGAAATCTGAAAGTGTTTGATAGAAAGTTCAAATGCTAATGCCCCAAACAGGAGATGACTTAGTGTGCTATAGAACCAATAAGAGGTCACTGTTGCCAAAGTAAAGCAGGGAAGTGAGGGAAGACAATGGTAGAAAATGAGATTAAGAGACAGCAGGACATCCCAATACAGGGCTTTATTTTGGGGTTTGAGACTAAAAGAAGCAACTGAAGGGTTGTAAAAGAAAAGGGCAATGACCTGACTTAACTCAAAGAAGGTATCTCTGCGTGAAGAATAAACCAAGGTGAACAAGAATGGATGGATTTCAGTTGCCTGTGCAATATATAACCAAAGCATTTATTTCAATACTTAAGGCAAGAAAGAGGCTCAGGCTAAGAGGGCAATGACAGCAGTAGTGCAAAGTATACTCCGTGCATTACAAAGTCCTAAGACCCATAAAACACAAGTGTCTCCTTAATAATTCAATGAAAAGACTGTAACATATTCAACTACATAGGGCTAAAAAGTTCACTATGAAAATACCTGGATATCAGATACTGGCTTCTTATGGTTACTTTTATTATCTGATAGGTCCAAGAAAAAGCTGTCTCTTTTTCCATATGGGGTTTTATCAATAAACCATCCTCCCTCAGATTCTCTTGCAGGAGTCTTCAAAGGAATGGAACTTGTTTTAGTTAGTCGTGGTGCTGAAGTAGTAGTTTCTCTTTGCTCCACCTCCGGAGTATTTGAGACAGAATCAGGATTTCCTTTCCGATATAAAGAGAGCAGCGAACTGTTCATGTGATTTGCTGACTGGCAGAAACATGATTTTACCATTAATTACTCAGGTATTCATGAAAAGTTCCATTAACCATACTAATAAGGTTTCTACATTTTGCTTTCACCAACTTCTGATATTTATAGTCAGAATATATGGGTGTTCACAATAAGATGATTCACAAACAAGCATTTAATATTCAAAAATATGTACACCCACCACCACTCCAAGTTAATGGAGGGCCAGTTCATAATTGATGATTAAATAAAATAAGCATGGTTACTTTTAAAAATATAACAGAACCAAGTATGGAAATGAACAGGTAGTCACTGGGAGTCACTACTATTCCATCAATTCAAAGAAAGATCAAATATAATTGTGTGTCATCATTACTTGGTTAATATATCCAAAAACTGATTTATCAAGGGAAAAAACAGAAGGCAAATTATGAGTAACKTGATGTATTACCTTCATATCTCCTTAGTCAAGCCCATTCATTGGTAAATCCTAGACAGAAAATATATTCTTTGCTCCAATTTTATGATTAATTCTCTTTCTATCTGTTTGCCCTTATTTCTGGCTACTCCCTTCTTTTTCTCTTTATAACTAACCATAAACACAAACACTGATAGGATGGGTTAATCCATCATCAACAGAATATGTAGCAAGTATTCTATTATTTATTGATAAAAATGTCCAAAATCTCTTTTTCCACTTTTTTAATCATTATTTTTTCCTTAAAAAGTCTCACAATTTTAAGGAAAAAGAATCACAGTGAGTCTATTAAATGTCTGGCTTACCTGTGGATCTGGGTAATCTTCCACAATTGAATCATCCTCAGAATAGCTTTCAGTATACCTCAGAAAAAAGAGGGAAAATGTTTTAAATGCTTTTCTCCTAAAAAATTACTACCCAAAGCAAGTTAAATATACTATGATAACATATTATGGTGGTAAAGAGTTCAAGTTTATGGGCTGGGTTGCGGCTCAGTGGTAGAGCACTTGCCTAGCATGCATGAGACACTGGGTTCAATCCTCAGTATCACATTAAAAAAAAAGGGGGGGGGCTGGGATGTGGCTCAAGCAGTAACGTGTTCTCCTGGCATGCATGGGGCGCTGGGTTCGATCCTCAGCACCACATAAAAATAAAATAAAGTTGTTTTGTCTGCCAAAAACTGAAAAATAAATATTAAAGAAAAAAAAACTAAATAAACAAAATAAAGGTATTGTGTCCATCTATAACTAAAAAAAAAAAATTTWAAAAAAAGAGTTCAAGTTTTAAAATCAGAGAAACTGGGATACAAAAATCTAGAATAACCAGTTAGTGACTATATGTACCTAAAGTCTCTGAGGATCAGTTTATCTATAAAATAATAAATAACATCCATCTCAAAGTTCTTAGTACATAGTAAAGGCTAAATAAATTGCAGTTATCTTTATTCCAGTAACAAATAAAAGTGAAATACAAATTCCCATCAGACCCAAGGGCCTCTTTTAAGAATACCAAACTCAGCAAGCTAATTAAGCACTTTGAATAACAAATTCACAATTCAAGCCCTGTAACCAATTGCAACTTTGTGTTTGTTCAGAAGGGAAGTCTTGAAGAAATTTTTCATATAATATATCAAACTAGTTTAGCTCCTAATAACTACAAACTGAGAATATAGTCTCAGTTCATTATAACTGAAAATTGATATCTAACAGTTTCTGCTTCTATTTAATGGTTTCTCTTTTTTAAAATATTTTTAGTTGCAGATGGACACAATACCTTTATTTTATTCATTTATTTTTATGTGGTGCTCAGGATCGAACTCAGTGCCTCACATATGCTAGGCAAGCGCTCTACCACTGAGCTATAACCCCAGAATGGTATGGTTTCTTCTCTTCTCTCTTTCTCTCCTTTCTCTCTCTCTCTCTCTTTCTCTCTCTCCCTCCCTTCCTTCCTTCCTTCCTTTCTTTTTTTTTTTTTTTAGTTGTAGTTGGACACAGTACCTCTATTTTGTTTATTTTTATGTGGTGCTGAGGCTGGAACCCAGGCGCTACACGTGGGAGGCAAGTGCTCTACTGCTGAGCCACAACGCCAGCTTCCTCAGCATGGTTTCTTTAGATGATATTTAAATTAACAAAAAGACTATTCCTACTGGGCATGGTGGCCACATCTGTAATTCCAGTGACTATGAAGGCCGAAATGCGAGGATTGCAAGTTTAAAGCCAAGCTCAGCAACTCAGGAAGACCCTCAGCAACTTAGTGAGACCCTAATAAAAACAAAAAGGTCTGGGGATGTAGTCCAATGGTAAAGTGCCCCTGGATTCATTCCCTAGTACCAAAAGAAAAGGAGTTCAGAGCCAGCCTCAGAGACTTGGCAAGGCCCTAATCAACTCAATGAAATCCTGTCCTTAAATAAATACAAAAAAGGGCTGGGAATGTGGTTCAGTGGTTGAGTGCATCTGGGTTCAATCCCTGGTACCAAAAAAATAAGGCTGAGTGGTAAAGTGTTTGCCTAGCATGCACAAGGCTGTAGGTGGTATTTCCAGCACCAAGAAAAGAGAGAATAAGAATAAACTGCAAAACATTATACCAATAAATTCCACACTTCAGATGAAAGGACAAATTTATTTAAAAACACAACTCAAAGGGTATGGTAGTGCCTGCCATTATCTCAGCTACTTGGGAGRTTGAAGTGAGAGGACTGCAAGTGTTAGGTTAGCCTCAGCAATTTAGTGAGACCCCGTCTCGCAATAAAAAATAAAAAGGCCTGGGGATATAGCTCAGTGGTAGAACATTTCTGGGTTCAATCCCCAATACCACTCAAAAAAAAAAAATCATCAAAATTGACATTTAAGAAAAAAAAGGTGGCTGGGGTTGTGGCTCAGCAGTAGAGCACTCAGCAAGCACGTGCAAGGCACTGGGTTTGATCCTTAGCACCACATAAAAATAAATAAGTAAAATAAAGGTACTGTGTCCAACCACAACTAAGAAAAAAAATTTTATAATAAAAAAAAGAATAAGATTTGAGAAACCATATCTATTAAAATTTATAAAAATTCTTCATAAAAGGAAAACTCTAAGCCTAGATGAATTCTAACATTCAAGAAAATAATTTTCATAGTTCTTTTTCATAAAACTGAGAACAACAGAACAGTTTCCAATTAATATCATGCACAGACAGGAAACAAATCAGTAGCTGCTTGGAAAAAGGAATGGAAGGAAAAGTGAATTATAAATGAGGAGCCAGAAAACTTTTGAAGTTGATGGGAAATTTTGGCATCTTGCTTATGGTGATGGTTTAGTGAGACAGACATATGTCAAAACAAAACAAACACTTTTAAAATATACAGCTTATTCTATCTCAATGATAACTTAAATTACTTTAAAGCCCTCAACATTATTTCTTCCTTCTTTTTATTTATTTATTGATTGATTGCAGTAAAGGGGTTTGAACTCAGGGGCCACACTAAAACTGAGCAACAAGCTGGGCATGGTGGTGCACATCTATAATCCCAACAGCATGGGAAGCTGAGGCAGGAAGATTGTAAAAGCCAGGTCCTAAGCAACTCAGTGAGACCTGTCTCTAAATAAAATACAAAATAAGGCTGGGGATGTGGCTTAGTGATCAAGTGTCCCTAAGTTCAATTCCAGGTACCCAAAAAAATATAAAAACAAACAAACAACAATAACAAAAAAATTGGGCAACATCCCCAGACCTTTTCTTACTTTATTTTGAGATAGGGTCTGGCTAAGCTGCCCAGGCTGATCTTGAACTAGGCAATCCTCCTACTTCAGCCTTCTAAGTCACTGGAATCATAAGCATACCCACATGCATGGCCTTGACATTATTTCTTAAGCGATAAAATTAACTGACAACTTTTAATATATCTGGCATTATATTTGGGCAGAGAAAAGCAAAAGTAACAAAAGACAGCTCTGTTGATAATGCTAAAAGGTACACAAATAATTTGAATGCAATACGATATACTAATGATTATAATAAGTATCTATAACCAGGAGATAAGGAAACACTAAACAGTGTTTAAGAACGCCAGGCATGGTGGCACACAACTGTAATCCCAGAAACTTGGGAGGCCAAGACAGAAAAATCACACGGATAGCCTGGGCAACTCAATAAGACCCTATCACAGAATTTAAAAAATAAATAAAAAGGGCTATGGGTGTAGATCAGTGATAAAGTACCCCTGGGTTCAATCTCTAGAACCCTCCCAAAAAAGAGTGTTTTAAGAACATCTTGCTGGGTATGGTGGCACACACCTATAATCCCAGCAACTTGGGAGGCTGAGGCAGGAGAATCGTGAGTTCCAAGCCAGCAAAAGCGAGGCGCTAAGCAACTCTCTGTCTCTAAATAAAAATACAAAATAGGGCTGGGAATGTGGCTCAGTGGTCAAAGCCAGGATTTCACATATGTTAGGCAAGTGCTCTACCACAAAGCTACATCCCCAGTCTCCCTTATAAAGATGATAAGACAGACTTGACAAATTGCCATGGCTAGCCTCAAACTTGTGATCCTCCTTCCCAACCTTCAGAATAGCTGGGATTACAGTTGTGTACCATTGCACTTAGCTTCAACTGACTCTTCAAGCTGAGTAGGAACTTATGAAAGGAAAATGAATACCACACAGAAAATCACCCTAAAAAAGCACAAAGAAGATATGTGAAGTCTTTGGGGAGCTGTAAGCATCCAATAAAACTAGAAGACAAGGTATGAAGAGATAAGTATTATGCAGGGCCAGATTATTCAGGGGGAAAAAAATCCTCCATTTTATAATACATACTCATTATCCTCTTCACCTTGCCTTGCTCTTTTTGCCAGATGTTCATCTTCGAATTCTGCCAGATTCTTCACTTCTTTCTCACTACTAATTATGCTGAATACTGAAAGAAAAAAAAAATGGCATTAGCCAAAACAGTTCTAATAACTATTGATTTAGCTCTAACAAGAAAAGACTCACCTTTTTCTACCTGAATCCTAAAAGCATTTCTTTTTCTTCGACCATAATCTATACTAAAAAAAAAAAAAAAAGTTTAGTAAAGTGGTCTCCATCAATATTTTTTTCATTAAGCTCAATCTAAATGGTCACATGATTTTTCATAAATATTTAATCATGCCACTCTTCACATTGCCATGAACCAATTTTTAAAGAATTTTTAAGTTCATATTTATACACTGCATTCTCTCAGTATTATTCTGTACTTAACTAGTTGATTTTCTTTGAATATTTTTAGTTTGCGATTTCAAATATCCCAAAATTTTGAAAGAACGTAATGAATATCCATATAATCTTTACCTAAAGTAAATCTTCACTTTGCTACATTTACTTTATTTCTCTCTGCACTAACAGAATCATTTGAAAATTAGTTACCGGCATTTCACCTAAAAAATCAGCATGCCTCTTTGTAAAAAGAGGATATTTAACTATATAACCATAGTAAAATTAGCACACACAAGAAATTTAATATTGGGACTGGTTATAGCTCAGTGGTATATCGCTTGCCTTGCATGCGTGAGGCACTGGGTTCAAATCTCAGCACCACAAAAAATAAATAAATAAAAATATTGTGTCCATCTACAACTAAAAAAATATTTTAAAAAGAAATTTAATACTGATAAAATATTATTTAATAGAGTCTATATTAAAATTTTTCAAATTGTTCCCCCAAGATGTTCTTAGATGGCTGGGTGCAGTGGTGCATGCCTGTAATCCCGGAGGCTCAGGAGGCTGAGGCAGGAGGATTGCAAGTTCAAAGCCAGCCTCAGCAAAGATGAGGCACTAAGCAACTCAGTAAGACCCTGTCTCTAAATAAAAGTAGGGCTGGAGATGTGGCTCAGTGGTTAAGTGCCCCTAAATTCAATCCCTGGTACCAAAACCAAAAACAAGCTGTTCTTAGATTTTTATTTTCTTTTAATTAGAGTCTAATCAAGGTTCATGCATTCACTTTGTTCTCTTTAGACTCATTTAAATTATAATCATCTTTTCTTTGACAGATGTTTTTATTATTTTTTTTCTCTTTCACTTTTTTTATTGGTACATTATACTTGTACATATAATGAAATTGTTACATGTCTATACATGCATACAATATAACAATGTTATGTGGAATCACTCACTCCTCAGCACTTCCCCTACTTCTTCCCTACCTCCCACCCCCTATCTTTTTTCCCTACTGATGTCCCTTTTATCTTCATGAGATCACCTTTCTTTTTCTTTTTCCTCTCTAGCTTCCACATATGAAAGAAAACATATGACCCCTGATCTTCTGAGTTTGACTTATTATGCTTAACATAATGGTCTCCAGTTCCATTCATTTTCCCGCAAATGACATAATTTCATTTTTCTTTATGGCTAAATAAAACCCTATTATCTATATATATACACCACATTTTCTTTATCCATTCATCCACTGATGAATACCCAGGCTGGTTACATAGTTTGGCTATCATAAATTGTGCTGCTATAAACATGGGTAAGCATGTATCACTGTAGTATGACCGCTTTAATTCTTCAGGATAAATACTGAGGAGTAGGAAAACTAGRTCATGTGGTGGTTCCATGCCTAGTCTTTTGAGGAACCTCTGAACTAATTTCCAATAGTGGTTATACTGATTTACAATCCAACCTATAGTGTAAAGGGTTCCTTTTTCTCCAACATTTATTATTATTTGATTCTTAATGACTGCCATTCTCATAGGTATGAGATGAAATCTCTCAAGTTTTGATTTGCAATTCCCTAATTGCTAATGATGTTCAACATTTTCTCATATATTTGTTGGACATTTGTATTTTTTCTTTTGAAAAGTGTCTGTTTAATTCATTTGCCCATTCATTAATTGGGTTATTTAATTTTTTGGTGAAAAAAAAACTGAGTTCTTCCTATGTTCTAGATATTAATCCTCTGCCAGAAGAGTAGCTAGATTTTCTTCCATTCTGTAGGCTTTCTCTTCACATTCTTAATTGTTTCCTTTGCTGTGCCGAAGCTATTTAATTGGATGCCATCCCATTTATTAACTCTTGACATTATTTCCTGAGCTTTAGGGATTCTATTGAGAAAGTTGTTGACTGTGCATATATGCTGCAGTGTTGACCCTACACTTTCTTTGATCCATTTTTAGTTGACTTTTGTGCAGGATGAGAGATAGGGGTCAAGTTTCATTCTTCTACATATGGATAACCAGTTTTCCCAGCACCATTTGTTAAAAGGGTTAAAAGGGCTCTTTTCTCCAATGTGTTTTTAGCACCTCTGTCAACAGATCAGATGACTTTAGATGGGTAGGGTTTTTATTTCTGTGTCTTCTATTCTTTACCACTGGTCTATATGTCTGTTTTTATGCCCATTCATGCAGTTTTTGTTACCATAGCCCTGAAATATAATTTGAAGTCTGGTATTATGATGCCTCTAGCATTGCTATGTTGGCTTAGAATTGCTTTATCTATTCTGGGTATTCTTCCAAATTAATTTCAGGATTGTTTTCTAGTTCTGTGAAGAATGTCATTGATATTTTGATGGGGACTACATTGAATCTGTATGTTGTTTTTGGTAGTATGGTCATTTTAATAATATTAATTCTGTCTATCCATGAACATGGGAGGTTTTTCTATCTTCTGAGGTCTTCAATTTCTTTCTTCATGATTTTATAGTTTTCACTATAGAGGTCTTTCTCCTCCTTGGTTAGATTCATTCCTAGGGTTTTTTTTTTTGTTTGTTTGTTTGTTTGTTTGTCTGTTTTGTTTTTATTTTGAGGCTATTATCAAAGAAATGGTTTCTTGATTTACTTTTTAGCAGATTCATTGTTGGTATATAGGAAATATGTTGCCTACTACCTTGCCAAATTTGTTTATTAGCTCTAGCAGTTTTTTGGTGGAGTTTTTTTGATCTTCTGCAAACAGACGCTGACATTTTTGAAAGGCTCAGACCAGTTAATTCATAAAATTTCCTGTAATCTAGATCTATTTTGTATTTCCTCAGTATTAAATTCAAGCTAAGCATTTCTAGCAAGATCATATAGTAAAGATGACAGATGAAAGCTTGATAAGGAAAAGAATATTTATATAACTTCAGAGTAAATTCTTAAAAATTATACACACACACACACACACACACACATATGCATGCCCTGGGGGAAAGGGAAATGCAGAAAAATCCAAATGTAGGGATTTAATATATAAAAACTATGTTATAATCTTCAAGTGTCAAAATCATGAAAAACAAGGAAAAGCTGAGCAACCAGTACAGATTAAAGGAGACTAAAAAGACAAAACAACCAAGTATGTATTTTGGTGTAGAGAAAAAACCCACAAAACAATAAAGGACATTAATGGGACAATAGGCAAAATATGAATACAAATTAGATAATATTATCATATAACCATTATTTTTTCTAGTTTTAATTAATGAACTACAGTTATGTAATAGAAAGTCTTTATACTGTGGTAGTAGAAGCAAATGTGACTCCATTTTGTTTTATGACTTCATCCTGTAAAACAACCATGCCAAGTAAAAGAGTCATGACTGGGGCAAGATGTTCTTTTCCTTTTGCTACAGAAACCTTTAAGAACACGGAACTACCTAATGGGGTATTGTTTCTGTAACTAGAGTAACAGGGCTCTGTTTCTCTAACTGGGGTGACTGGGATAACTGTGATTGGTTAGGCTTCCCTCCGCTTGACTGCACTGTCCCGCTTCTGTAACCTGGCTTGCTTGCATTGGCTACACCCCCCACCCCCCACCCTACCACGCGAAAACATCCCTTTTGCGGTTTTCAGACTTATAAGGAGTGCCCTTGCAATTGTTCGGGGCTGATCAGGGAACAGCTTTATGTTCTGGTCAGCCGCCACCGGTGTGCTTCAATAAAGGCTTGATTCGATTATACATGAGTGGTCTGGAAGTCAGTTTATGAAACCCTGGGATGAAGCTTTAACTATAACAGATCTACTAGAGGCACAGACCAGCTACTTTGCTGGTTGAAACAGGAGGATCCACATTTGAGGCTAGCAATTTAGCGAGACTACGTCTCAAAAAATTTAAAAAAGTCTACAAAGTGTAGGTCATTAAAGTGTTTGCCTAGCAAACTGGAGGTCCTGGATTCAATTCCATATTACCCCCCACCAACAAATACACACACAAATCTTTGTTCTTTTGAAAACAGACAATAGGTAAGGAATACATGGGTTTTCTTTGTATATGCTATTCTTTCAACTTTAAGTTTACTATTCTTTCAATTTTTCCTCAAGTTTGAAAATATATAAAAATAAAAAGCTTTAAATAAAGCAAATATTGTACTAAATCATGGCCATTTAAAAAAGCAATTTTTGGCATGGAGCAGTGGTGTACACCTTTATTCCCAGAAGCTGGGAAGGCTGAGGCAGGAGGTTTGCAAGTTCAAGACCAGCCTCAGCAACTTACAGGGCCCTAAGCAACTTAGACTGTCAAAAAATATATATAAATAAAAAGGATTGGGGATGTGGTTCAATGGTTAAGGGATCCTGAGTTCAATCCCTGATGTAAAAAAAAAAAAAAAAAAGGCAATTTATCGGTTAGATTAAAACTCAACAGTACAGCACATGCCTACCATGTATGAGCATGTATGAAGCCCTAGGTTCAATCTGGAGTAATGCAAAAATAAATTAATTAATTTAAAAAGCAACTTAATTGGGAGGCTGAGGCAGAAAAATCACAAATCTGAAAGCCTGGATAACTCAGTGAGACCGTATCTCAGAAAATAAAAAACTCAATGGAAAAAGAACCTGAGCAAAATATGTTAAAGTAACACGAATATATCAATACAAAGTTTTTCCTTCCAAACAGGTTTATGCTTTTAAAAATCAATTAACTAATTTAAATGGGGAATGGGCTATAAACCAGTAAGTTGAAATACTTCTATTAGCAGCAAATCATATGAAAATTTGAGAAAACTGAAAACACAAACCTTAAGACAATAAAAAAGGCTAATAATAGTCACCTACTAAACCTTRTATTAAGGAAGAAACACCTACCAAATGACAATCAA